GCTCCGCGTGGCCCGGGGTCTCCGTGGCGGGAGGGCCGGGACCGGGCGCTGTGCTCAGCTCAGCGGAGACACGCGAGGAGACGGGAGCTAATGCGAGGAGACGGTGCAAGAGGGATGCTGACGTATTGCACTGGAATGCAGCCCTGGGAGCCGGGATCGCTCCATGCCGAGCTCCTGAGCAGTGTTAAAGCATAGCCCTGAGCCACGAGCCGGCTGCTTCAATCACACCTGGCTGTTTTCTTAGAAACGGAAGAAGGATAAAGACGCCCTCTGAGCCAAGAAATGCTTTGAGCGGAGGATGACTGGAGCAAAGGCAAAAAAAGACAATTCTGGGAGTTGGCTCAGCTTCGAGTGATGAAAATCATCAGGAATGCAACGGAAAAAAGGAAGGTGGGGGCAACGCCTCCCGCCCGGGCTATAAAGGGCCGCGCGGCGGGGAGGGCGGCACTCGCGGCTCCCCCGCGCCACGGGCTCCTCCACCGCTCGCCATGGCCACCACGATGCGGCACTTCTCGGGGGCAGCCTGGGCAGCAGCTTCGGAGGCGGCTTCGGAGGCGTCTTTGGGGGCGGCGAGGGCATCCTGCAAGCCGGGGAGAAGGAGACGATGCAGAACCTCAACGACCGCCTGGCCGCCTACCTGGACAAGGTGCGAGCTCTGGAGGAGGCCAACACCGACCTGGAGGTGAAGATCCGCGAGTGGTACAAGAAGCAGGCGCCCGGCCCCGACCGCGACTACAGCCCCTACTACAGGACCATTGAGGAGCTCCGCACCAAGGTAGGAGGCTGCGACAACAAAATGTTACCGTCAAAGTCACTTTTTCAGAAATTACCTTGTGCCTGAGAGCCAGAGGCTTGGATATTAATTCATGGCAGTTGCTCTAAGATTGGAAAACAAAGAGGAAGGTTGAAAATAAATGTGCTGCCTTGCCAGGCTCCAACCAGCCACTCTGCAGGCAGGGACATGTTGGGTCTTTGGTATCTTTGATGCCTTTGGTATTTGATATCGCTCTCTTTTGCAAAATGATATGCAAGCAGGGGTGCCCAGTAGCTTTCCTAAGGATTCCAGAATTCAGAGGAATCACTTAGAGCCTGTCAGGAGCTGAAGATAAAGGGTAAGAAGTGAAGGTGCCCCAGGATGCTTCTCCTTTGGGAGGTGCAGAGAACCCATCTCTGAGGCTTCGCAGCTCATGAACCACAGAGCTGCCCTGAACTCCAGCTCGGGGCTGTTCTGGAATCCAGCACGTGGCCAACGTGGAGGCAGAAGCTTCCTCCAAGATCCCAGCAAGGAACTAGGGGGTCTCCTCACATTCATCCTTGTCTTAACTACTAATACTCCTTTCCTGCACTATTGCCATGATTTTCCCTGAAGCATCAGAACTCAGTGAGAGTTTTTCATTAGCCTGTGGCTAGCAATTTTTCCTTTCAAATTGGCCAAGCACTTTCTAAGTGCCAGAGCAAATATTTGCACCACAGGTATAATAATAACAGCAAAAGGCTTCAGGGACAAGGTTCTCCTTCCTCATGGATTTTCCTTCCCAGCTGAGCAGTGCTGCATTCCCAGGCACAGCCCAGGGCTGGAGTGATCAATGCAGGGGGTGCTGTGTGTGCCTGAGATGTCATTTCGGTGGGGGGGACAGAGTGGGGCCTCTTCAGCATCTTCTCAAGACTGAATTAGTGCCATCAAGAGCTGAAGCTGGAGCATCTTGTCCCTGTGCAAGTGCAGCCTGGGGGCAGCAGGTTCAGTGCTGCTCCTAGGCAGGATCTCAGCAGCACCATGCGGTCATTTCAAAATCGTTTTCCATTCCTCCTCATCCTCTTTTTTTTTTTTCCCCGCAGATTCTTGCTGCAACTGTTGAAAATGCCAACATAGTCCTGCAGATTGACAACGCCAGGCTGGCAGCTGATGACTTCAGGACAAAGTGAGTCTAAGGCTCTGAGCAGGAGGGGACACAAGGGAGAGATGCCCTGTGTGAGGTTCTCTCAGCTCTGCAGGCCTGGTGTCACCCAGCTCTACGTCAAGCATCAATGGTGCAACCCATGGAAGGGAACATCCCTTCCTGGCCTGCGCATGGTGTCCTGACCCCGCTGCGCTGTGCAAAGCCGCACAGGCACTTTTGATAAAATTTAATAAAAACGAACTAATTAACTAAAGTAGGCCAAGCTGGGGAAGGAAGCAAGACAGAAACGCTCCCCACCAGCCGGGCTCCAAGGTGCGACTCTTTCCTTGCTGCCAGGTTTGAGACGGAGCAGGCTCTGCGCCTGAGCGTGGAGGCCGACATCAACGGCCTGCGCAGGGTCCTGGACGAGCTGACCCTGGCCAGGGCTGACCTGGAGATGCAGATCGAGAACCTCAAGGAGGAGCTGGCCTACCTCAAGAAGAACCATGAGGAGGTGAGCGGAGATGGGGCACAGAGGGGACTGCAGAGTGAGTCTTGTGCTGTGCCAAGAGGGCACATCCCGTGTGCTGGACGGGCTCCGACATGAGGGCAGGCAGGAGAGACCACATTGGGTAGGGGAGAGGGAAATGTCCATCCTGTGGATGTGTCCATCCTCAGCCAAAGCACATCAACCACACAGGTGTGCTGGGCACAGGTTGAGGAACATACCCTTGGGTTTCACTAATATGCTGCAAAACCCCAATTGAAATTTTTTTTCTTTCTGGAGACAGAAATTGTAAAAGAAAATTTGGTGGGGTTCTTGTGTTGGGTGTGAAAAGACCAATCATGATCGGCCATGGTAGGAACACACTGCTACCGTTTTGATGTGTGTAACACACGTGTTGCCCCAGGAGATGAACGCCCTGCGTGGGCAGGTGGGTGGCGAGATCAGCGTGGAGATGGATGCTGCTCCCGGAATCGACCTCACCAAGATCCTGGCGGAGATGCGGGAGCAGTACGAGACGCTGGCCGAGAAGAACCGGCGCGACGCCGAGCAGTGGTTCTTCAGCAAGGTGAGCGGGCGGGCGGGCGCGCGGCGGGCGCGCGGGGCTGCGGCCACCTCTTCCCTGACCCGGCCTCGCCGCAGACGGAGGAGCTCAACCGCGAGGTGGCCATTCCCCGGCCGCGCGGCCTCCCCCTGAGCCGCCGCCGTCTCTCCGCGCGCAGAAAGCGGCGCTCGAAGGCAGCCTGGCCGACACCGAGGCCCGCTACGGCACCCAGCTGGCCCAGCTGCAGGCCCTCATCTCCAGCGTGGAGGAGCAGCTGGCCGAGCTGCGCTGCGACATGGAGCGCCAGAACCACGACTACCGCCTGCTGCTCGACGTCAAGAGCCGCCTGGAGCAGGAGATCGCCACGTACCGCCGGCTGCTCGAGGGCGAGGACGCGCAGTACGTGGAGGGCGCGGGGGGCTCCTCGACGCGGGGACGGCGAAGGCGGAAAATGCGCTGGGACAGAAAGGCTTGTGCTGCTGTCAGCGCGGAGGGTTTTAAGGGGAATCGATCAAATTGCTTCAGAGGGTAAAAATAAGCCCTACTGCAAATGATCATTATTGGGTTGTGTTCTCCAGAACCGCTTGCTGTTGCTTTAGGGTGTAAGATTAACCACTTTTTGACTTGTTCTCCTCCTCAATACGAAGGCTGTGAAACAAGAGCCGCAGAATTTGGCCTTAACACCTCCTTTCCGTCTCCCCTTGCAGCATCTCCTCGCAGTACTCGTCCGCCGTGTCCTCCCACTCGGGCAGAGACGGTAAGAGCGGCTCCCGCTTCACCCACCTATAGCAGCGACTCCGGGTCCTGCCACACAACAGATCCATGTGGAGGGGGAAGGACCCCCGGTCTGAATCGCATTTACAACAGGAATGACTGGGTCCAAGTTCATCTTGGGCCTGAACAGCCAATCTTCTAGCTTTACACAGTCCCGAAAAATCAAACAACAGCTACAGATCTAAGAAAGGGCTTTCCCCCTCTTTTGGCTTTTTTCTCAGCCCAACTCTTCATTCCCCGTAATTAAAGCCAGGGCTAACAAGAAAATGGGCAGAGCACCACCTGGAATTCCCCATGTCTTTATTAAGCCCGTGCAATATTCTGTAATGCACTGGGAAGCTTTTCCTTCCTGCTCTCACAAGAATGGTTTCTCACCTTCCTTTTGCAGTCACGACAACGTCCCGCCAGGTCCGCACCATCGTGGAGGAGGTCCAGGACGGGAAGGTGGTCTCCTCGCGGGAGCAGGTCGCGCTCACCACCCGCTAGGAGCAGCCGCGACGGCGGCGCCGCGAGCGTGACGGCTGTGACAAGCCCCATCCGCGGTCGTGCGTGATGGGAATGTGGCCCAGGAAGCTGCTCCATCCGCCTGTTCCCCCTTCCCACTTCGCCCCGATGTCCCGGGTGTCACAGGCACTCTGAGACCCCCAATAAAGCCGTTCTTGCTCATGCCACCGCAGTCCCGTCTCCCACTTTCTGCACCGTGTGTTCACATTAGAGAAGGTCCTCAGTGGCCACACGCAGGAGCCCACGTGGGAGGCTAAGGGACACGGCTCTGTTCAAAGCAAAACACATGAGAGAGGCTCTTTTTTGTTGCTCAGAAATGCCTGGCACTGACTAAGGCTAAACCAGCTAAATCTGGTATGAAATGGAGAAAATGACAGAGGGATGATGCCCGAGGACAAGGCTAGGGACACACAAATGGCCATTAAAGCCAATGGCATCAGGCTCAGTCCTGTTACTCCTGGTCCCACAGGAATCCCTGTCTCCTGCTAGACATCGGCAGGATTGCTGCTCTTCCCAGTGAGACAGGCACCACAGCAGATCACGGCACATCCAAAACGCACCTTCTTACGTCTTGTTTTTGCAAAATGTGCCCAACAGCCTGGTTAAAGAGTCAAACTTTATGCAGGTTTTCTCATGCTGCCCTAAGGCTGCATATAACAGGCTCCAAAGCAATCATTGCTTAATCTGCCGAGTGATGAGCAGCAATGATTAGTTACCACTATGGCATCTAGCAGATAATTGTTAAAATCCTTCCTGAAAAGCCATAAACTGGTTACTGCGTGTCAACACCGTCTGGTGGCACGCTGCCATGCCGCATTAGGTGACGAAACCGGCGCAATGGAGCACGTAGCGGATTTTGCCTTTGGCTCTGACCATCACTTCCCGACGAGGGATCCCGGCAGCAAGTGCCCCGTGCCCGTCCCACACCCATGGCACGTTGGGGTCCTGGAGCAGAGGAGAGAAAGTCCTTTTAGAGGCAAAAGCCTGATGCTTTCTTGGCATTGGTGGCTTGGGAGCTTTGCCTGACATTGGACCATGCCCTCATCTTCATCATCTGCCTCATGGGGACATATTTAAGGAAAAACAACAGTTTACAGTAGATCAGCTTCCCTTTAATTATAGTGCTGCAGAAGTGGGTTTGGCACCTGAATTCAAGCACCCTCCTCTCCTGGACCGTTCCTGATGATCCGTTCTTCTGCCACAAGGGCACCGAGGTCTTTCCTGCACGAACATGAAGGCCTCCTCCTTGGCCTGAGCAAACCCTCGAGGAGAGATGATGATCTCAGGGGAGGCAGGACGCGACAGGCAGAGGAGAGCGAAGGTGATCGAAGAAGTGGGGGAACCTGCCAAGTCTTTCCAGAAAAGGGAGTGTTTGCTGAAGTGGCGTCATCCTGCACTGTTGGGTGGCAACTGCAGCAAAGTTTAGAAAACAAAACACACACAGGACGCAGGGGTCATGGGCTGAGTCCGGCTTCTCCTCTTGCTGGAGCTGCAGCAGAAACAAGGAGCCTTCCAAGCACACGGCCAAAGCCATCTCAAAGACAAAACCAAGGCCAAGCAAAACCTCGGAATCAAGTTATCTTCAATGTTAGGGCAGTGGACAAGGAATTGTGGGTGAGGTGGAAATCCTGACTGAACTGAAAATGTCGTGGTTTTTCAGAAGAAACATCGTGTTTCAGCCGTGTTTCAGGCAGTTATTCACCTCCTGAGCCATTGACAAAGAGCCCCAAAGGTACTGACCACCAAGGGCTCTCTGAAATAGCTAAGCATTACGGATTAAAGGAAGCAGGAAGCTCAAAGCAGGTGCCAATTCCCGAGTAAGTGGCTCTGCTGCCAACACGGTACATCAAGACCATTGCGCTGCCGGAAGGACACAGGCGAGTGTCGCAGTGAGACACAACAAGCAGCATCTTTAGTTGGCTTTGATGTCTCTCACCCCGCACTGATACCATCCCCAGCTGTCTGCCAGACGGGCCCTCAGCGTGGCTCAAAGGAAGACTCCAACTCGCTGCTTTTCGAGCATAAATGAGACGTCTTAAGCCCTCAGACACCAGCGTCCTAATAAGCAATAGCTTGGAGACACTGTCACACACCCCGGCTGCTTGCTCTGACAACAACTGATTTTGGTTTCACTGGGAGGATCTCACCAGGCATCTTCCCTATTCATCATGTATATCTGCTTTAATGAAAAAGGCCTAAATTCCCCCTAATTCTGCATAGCACTAATATCACAGAGCAAAGGCCATGCTCAGCGTACATAATCACGGTGCTATTACCGTGCTCTGAAGATGGAAAGTATCACACAAATGTAGGGCATTTGTTTCCTACTATTTACTCTCATGCTATACAATTAGCATTTTAATCTGTGAGATGTGGACAAATTATCACACCCAAGGGATGGACAGTGTTTTTCAAGCTTTGTGCATGATGCATGCACAGGACAAGTCTACACAGGATTCAGCAAGGAATTATAGAAACAAGACCTCAGGGGATATTGGTGAATCTTTAACAGAAAAAAAGAAAAAAAAAGGAAAAAAAAAGGAAGGAAAACTGAGATGTCTTTGAAATGTATTTCATCAGCTGAGAAATATGTAGGCCATGCTAGTGTCAAACTTAATACATAACAACAACACTTACAGTGAATAATGTTTAAAATGAATATCTCGCTTCCTATCTTTAAAGCTCTGTGTTATCATCAGGCGTTTGTTTGCACAACGCCCGCAGAAGGATTACCATTACTACCATTTCCATCCTACAAAGCATGAAATGGAGACGCAGGGAGCCCGAGCGAGTTGCCTGCAGTGATTTGCAATGCTGGGATCAGAGCTCTGGAGATTCCGGTTTCATCAGAGAGCTGCAGATCAGTCTCGGTCCAGCAGATACTTGGAATATTGCCACGATGCCCATCCTCTGCTCCCCACCTCTCTTCTTCCTAATGCGGAATACAGGAAGCAAATCCGAGGCTGCAGCTCAGCTCCTTTCTCTCTATTTTTCATGGAGCGCCTTAGACGGGAATAGCACCTTTGCCCTGGGAAGGCTTCTCTGCTCATTTGTTACTTGAAGTAATGACTTTGGCTCGTCAGGTCTGCGCTGCTCTTTGGGAAATGCCCCTGGGAAGGGCTGCGGAGCCGCCGTTCCCTTCCTCTGCAGCCTGCAGGGCTCTGGGGTCAGCTGAGGACAGCGGCTGCCTCCAAAATCCATTCTGCAAAGCGTCTTCCATTATGCATGGAGATAACTTCATTAAGGGATGTCCTCATAAAAAAAGAAAGAAAATCTCTTTTAATAAGATATTGTAACTACAGGTACGTCCCTAGGCATGCTGTGAGCCTGCTGTAAAAGCAAGAGCTGGTTTTCATAAATATTTCAAATTTTGGAAACAAAAGAACCTCATGAAGAACAAATCCAATAAAATCACCGCAGAAATGACTGTTCTCCTTATAAAAGCTTTACACTGTCTAATTGACTAATGATTACAGAGACCTGTAGCAAGGTCTGAAGTTCATAAAGGAAGGAACAAACTTTTTGTTGGAAAGGGAAAGATTATATAAATCTCAGTTAAACGTAAACTCAGTAATATTTTCATAACTCTGATGAAAAAAAAGCAAGATTGTGACCAACCAAAAACGATGACAGGGCAGCAGACGAGGAGCCCAGGGCAATCTGGCCTGGCCATGGGCATCACACCAACAATGTGCACCAGGGCCCCATGGCACAGCCTTCACCTGCTAATTACGGATGGACACAGACAGAAACCACCCCACGTTTAAGGTGTTATGGACTTGCAGACTCAAGATAAAATCAGAATTAATGAACCAACCCAGATGGCATAAGCAATATTCCTGAAACAGGCTGGACCTGCCACATCCCTTCTGTGATGAGTCCAGCTGGCCTGGATGCCAAAGACAACGCTAAACAACTAAGAGGTAAAAACCAGACAATATTAGCATGGCTGTGTTAATAATAAAATGAAAGATTTGTATGACAAAACCTTTTAATTATTTCCCTTCTTCTTCAATTCAGCACTCCAAGCCTAAAAGGTTGGCTTAATGTCTTTTTTTTTTTTTTCATGATCTTTTCTAGTCTTTTTTTCTAATCGTAACACATTTCCCCTAGCTCCTATTTGGAGAACTTCCGCAGTGCAAGCTGGACTTGGGCCAGACCTATAATGGATCAATCTGCTCCTGAAGCTCTCTGTGTCACTCCTTTAGGAATTTTATGAGACCTCTCATGCATGTGGCCTCTCTTGGCAGGGAATATTCACAGCTGACTGCAACATCTGCTGCTCCGGGGACACCCTCTCCTCTTCTGCATAAAAACTTGAACGCAGCATAAGAAATATAAGGGCCTCTCTCCTGAAGGGGGGCACTTCAAGGGCCATTGGGAAGGAGGAGGAACAAGCTCTTTTCGGCAGGGCCTGGCCCCTCGTGCTGGGCACGGCGCTCGCGGCCATGCCCTGGCCCACGCCGGCTGCGTCATGACGGCGCTGCTCGCGGGTATCACCATTCTTGTGTCCCTGCTCCTTGGCCGTCATCACAAGTCAGACCTGATGATTCAGGAAGTAACATTTTTGATGTAGTTTGGTAACTCGCTTCTGTTAGGCAAAGCAGCTTTCTGTTGTGGGATTGCTGGAGACAAACGCCTGGGGGGAAATATTTCAGGCTCAGAAAACAAACCAGAGCTGGCCAGGTCACAGGAAGGAAGAATAAGCAGCCCTGCTCCGGTGGTGGCATCCACCACGAAGGGTATAAATAGGGACCGCGAGGACAGCGCGACGCAACGAGCTCCTGCACCGCCCTGGGCCGCCCGCTCCGGCTCGGCTGCTCTCGCCATGAGCTGCAGCATCCGGCAGGTCTTGGCCTGTGCCCAAGGCAGAGGCAGCGCCGGCAGCACCCGCAGGGTCTCCTCGGCCTCCCCCGTGAGACCGGCTGCCTTCGACTTAGCCGCCATGGCCGGCACCTTCTCTGGCGGCAGCTTAAACGAGGGATTAATGGGGAAGCAAGCGAGCGCCGGCGGCGGCGTGGCTGGAGTCTTCGGAGCTGCCCCGCAGCCTTGTCCCGCCGTGGGCTTCAGCGGAGGGAGCTCCTGCACGCGGGGCCTCGGCGGCGGCTTCGGCAGGGCGGGATGCGCCGAGGGGATCCTCTTCGCTACCAGCGGGAAGGCGACGATGCAGAACCTCAACGACCGCCTGGCCTCCTACCTGGACAAGGTGCGGCTGCTGGAGGGAGAGAACGCGGACCTGGAGTGCAAGATCAGGGAGTGGTACGCCAAAGTGGGGCCCAGCTGCGAGCCGCGGGACTACAGCTGTTTCCATAAGGAAATCGACGATCTGCAAAACCAGGTAAATCCCCCTTCTTCAAGTAAGCGCTAATATTTCTTTGGGCTTTCCTTTGGTGTGAGGATAGACCGGTTTCAAAGAGCACAGGCGATTCCTGGGTCTGTGGAAGTGTCTGAGATGACGGTCAGAGTGAAGTGTCGCTGAGGGGAGCGCGGCGACCTCGCAGAGCCTGCTCAGACAAGCTCCCACGGGGACCCCCCTCCGCAGGGAAATGCCACTGGTTGGGACAGACTAATAGCCCCAGCACACGACATTGTTACAGAATACCTGGGTTGCATTATCCCGGGTAGGTGTTTCCTCCAGGAAGGTCCCTGGAGGAAGCTGCATGCCCAGTGCCCGCTCCGCATTCTCTTTTCCAGATCCTGTGTGCAGCTATGGAAGCTAACAAAATCATTCTGGACATTGATAACAACCGTATGACTGCGGACGACTTCCGTGTGAAGTGAGTAGAGCCCCGCGCAGCCCGGACCGGGGCAGGGGGTGGGAAACCCTACGGGCCTTGGGGGCAGCCGAGAAGTTGCTCATGATGCTCCCATGTTAAAATGCATGGATATCATTAGCCGTGTTCATTACATAGCGTGCCCAATGCCAAGGAAGTGCTCGTTCCTAATTTTTTCCCCCAAGCTCACCTCGCAGGTGAAGCAGGTCCCTGTCGAGCACCAGGCATCCAACCTGGAAAACCTGCTTGGGAACGTGGCTGGGCAGCAGCAAGGGACCTACCGCCGTGTGCCCAGGGCTGGCTGACTCCTCTTTGCTGCGTGTGCAGGTACGAGACGGAATGCGGCCTCCGGCAGAACGTGGACACGGATATCTGCAACCTCCGCCCTGTGCTGGACCAGCTGGCCAGCTGCAAGACCGACCTGCAGCTGCAGTTTGAGGCCCTGACCGAGGAGATGTGCTGCCTCAAGACGAACCACGAGGAGGTGAGATCCCCCCTGCCCCTCCAGGACTAGGACAGGGGCAGAAGGGAGGTGCCCCGCGTGTGCCCGGCACTGACCCGCGCGCGGCCCGGCAGGAGATGAGCTGCCTGAGGAAGCAAGCGACCGGCGACGTGAACGTGGAGGTCAACGCCTGCCCCGGCCCGGACCTCAGGAAGATCCTGGAGGACCTGAGGTGCCAGTATGAAACGCTGATGGAGCGCAACCGCAAGGAGACGGAGCAGTGGTACGCCTGCAAGGTACCGGCACGGCCACGGACATGGCCTGTCCGAGCACAGGGACGTGACAGAAGGGCCCCAGCATGGGGCAGAACCGGCCTCGGTGCTGGGGACACTCGTGCAGCCGCGCTCAGGTGAGCGGCTCTGCTCTCGCCTTTCAGGTGGAGGAGGTGAACCTGGAGGTCATCACCAGCAGCCAGGAGATCGAGTCAAGCAACAAGCAGGTGACAGAGCTGAGGCGCCAGCTGCAGGGCTTGGAAATCAACGTCCAAGCCCAGCTCAACATGGTAGGTGATGCCGCGGGCGTTCGCGGCTAATCCCGGCTCTGCTTGGGAAGCTGCACGATGAGGGTGACAGCTGGGACAGCAAATGAGCACATTTTAGTGGGATTTCTTGGCTAAGAAGGCCTGACCAGATGGTACAAGTGTACCCAAGGTGCCTCCTTCTTGTTTCCATCCTCAGAAGGAAAACCTGGAATCGTCCCTGGCCGAGACGGAATGCCGCTACAACAGGTACCTCGCGGAGCTCCAGGGCCAGATCTCCTGCGTGTGGCGGAGATCCGCGCCGAGATGGAGTGTCAGAACCAGGAGTACAAGACCCTCCTGGACGTCAAGTGCCGCCTGGAGCAGGAGATCCAGACCTACCACTGCCTGCTGGAGGGCGGCCAGCAGGACCTCGCGTACGCAGACCGCAGGGAGGCCCGGGCCTAGGGAGGCCGCCGCGCTCCGACTCATCCACACGGGGAAACGGGGCAGTTACTGCTAGAGACGGGAACAGCACTGACCTAGCCGGGGCTCATTATCATGAGGCACCGAAAATTTGGCTCTGATAGACAGGGTGGATCCAAGACCCTTCCCTGTGTGGGCAGCAAAGGGCCCTGGGCAGCCGGGCGGCTTATCAGAGGCTGCTGGGCAAAGTCTACTATGAAAAGTGGCATTTAACTAGGTTTTATTGCCTTTGCCACTGCTAGACAGGATTAGGGACTGGCACCTCAGTTAACTGAAACAATAAATTATCTAAACATTTTCAGTCTCACACCAGGATTTTAATTAAAGCTTGGGGAAATTTAATTTGTATGCAAAGCAGTTGGCTCTTCCCACCGGCTGAGATTTTTAAGCGGCGAGACCTGCTGTTCAGCCCATCCAAGGCCACATGCTCATAAAAGCAGCCTGAGCCCCCACCTGCTCCAGCAGTTGGGGAAAAGAGGCACTTTGGGGACAGGGATACGCGGTGGCCGGGGCTGGCAGGGGGACAGGGCAGCTCCTCGCACGGAGTGCAGGGGACGTGGGGGCTGCGCGCAGGGGAAGGGCAGTGGAGCAGGGGGATGCGCTGGATGCTGCTTTTAGCAATGCTCAAGGGGGTAAAAAGGGGCTGTGCCCGTCCCGGGGCAGCTCCTGGCTGCGTCGGATGGCGCTTGGCGAGCGGAGCTCTCTCCCGTCCGCAGGGGACCCACGGGAAGAGGAGCCCCTGCGACAGCCGCCGGGAGAGGCGCGGGGCTGAAGAGCAGCCTGGGGCAGCCCTAGGGTCAGGACGGCCCCGCGAGGCCGCCGGACGCCGGGGCTCACAGTGCCCATGGACGCGGGTCGGCAGCGGCGCCGGCAGGATGAGGAGACCCCACGAACAAACTCTTTGGAAAAAGGGAGGCAGGAACGAGCTCTGCCGCTGCCTCCGGCCGGCCGCTCGGGCTGATCGGTACCGCGCCGGTCACCTAAAGCTACCAAAGCTTGTCCCTAATAAATCCTGTGCCTGGAAACGATTTCTACAAGTAAATTATTACACAAGTATTACAGAGATTGTTGCCCAGATTGTTACCTTTCTTATGCAATTTTGGCTAGAAATCTCCTTGAGGCCGAAGCTTCCCAAAGCGATGGGAAATGGGGAAGCTGGAGCCGCGCTCCTCCCAGCCTGTCCCTGGAGCGGGAAGGAGAGGGGAGCAGGAGGTGGGTGCGAAGCTGGGGGAGATGAGCAAGGAGATGCTGAGGGAGCTGGGATTGTGCCCGGGAAGGAGCCGCGAGGCTCCAAGCGACTGTCTTGCACCGCGGGAGACTCCTGAGGGAGAGCGAGTTTCATTAAGTAGGTGTGTGTGTAATAGAACATAAAACAGCCCTGCACAACCCGGTAATGTCGAGAAGAACAAGCTTTTCCCAGTGAGACGGAAGCAAATTTTGAAAGCAAAACTCTGCCGGACCCAACACAGCTCCTGGTGGAGCAAAGCAGTTCCCAGGGAAAACACTAAACAAAGAACATCTGCGCGGATTAAAAAACAAAGTCGAGCAGGAATAACCAGCTGGCAACACGTGGGAAGATAAAAGGACAAGACGAATTATGATGTGGGAGAGAATTTTACCGAGTAAGCTGTAGTAACCAGCCCGGGAAGTGGTGGCACCGTGCAGCACTCCGGGGACGGGACCTGCCGATCCGGGAGCACCGGCACGTCCCCCGGCTCCGGCAGGAAAGGCCCCTCTGCCCCCCAGCAGCTCCTCAGCACGGGGCTTAATCAGCCTCTTTCTATAACAAAATATTTGCTGGGGTTTGATGAGTGCTCTTTTACTCCAACACAACTATCTTCACTGCCCAGGGAGTTTAAAACCAGACGGGAATTGGCTGTGGAAACTGTAAAGGTAGAGGAGGCAAAGAGAAGCTAAACAAAATGCAGAAGATGCAAAGTGTGGAATGAGGGACAAGAAGCCCCGGGACACAGTGTCCTCACAGGGGCTGTTCAGGAGCTCCCGAACTGCAGAATCATCCGAAAAAATCCCCGAGCAATGACCGGATCAGAAGTGAAGAAACAGAAAGAAAGCAGCCAATCTTGTGCACTGCTAATGCTGGAGTTCAGCCAGGAATTAAGGACTGCACTGAGCAAGCAATTACACATAATTACAAGCACTGCACATTTCTAATACTAGGATATATTTTGATGTGCTGTGTAAACTATATTTTTTTCTATTAAAGTCTGATTTTATGAAACAGACAGATATAAACAGTCTCCCTCACACCCATGGTAACTCTCTGTGGGGACTGTTTTTGTTCTTCAGCTTGTGAAATATTTCTAAAGAATTATATACGAGTGAATTACTACTGTAAGCAGGTCAGAGTGAAGCTGCTGCAGCTTCGCTCCCATCCGTGCCCCTCTCTGCCCTCCAACACCCGCTCCCTTGGGCTCCTCTCTGCCCTGGAAACAGGCGATGCTCCCAGAGATGCAAACACTGCCAGCCTGGCTGCAGTGCCAGGAGGAAACGAGACCCTTCACCAAATGAATCAAGGAAGATGCTGCGAGCTCCAGCGGGAAGAAACCAGGTCCTGTCCACCCCATGTGCTGCTGAACTTCTGCTGCATCCCCTGCAAAAAAATCAGGAGGAGAAGAGGAGAAGAGTCAGCAAAAAAGGACTGAAGCAGAGTAATCACCTTGCTCGCAGAGGCGTATTTAAGAGCTAGGATCATGTTGTTAGCAAACTCCCTGTGATAATTGTTTCACTTGCCTTACAGGAATTCTGCTAAGTGTAGTGCTATAAACCAGTGAGTCACCAGCCAGAAAACACCACGGTCTGCATTTGAAAGATGGGAGCATGAGGTCTGGAGCCGGCTCAGTATCACATCAAAGTAGTAGTTAATAAGTGATGCCTAATGGCTATTATGCAAATTACTACTAGTAATTACAAGCGACAAGATAAAATCACGTTGCAGTGTGCGGTTGCACAAACATCACTGAAGCAACGCTTGTGAAAGCAGAGTTCTGTCGAATTAGGCACTCCCTGCTTGTAGTGACACAAGGAAACATTATCTCGTCAAGGCCGATAAGCAGAACAAGGCGAGCGCCGCGGGGACGGCTGACACTGCAGAGCGCCCAACGCCCGGCGCGGCGCCCACGGCGCGGGCACTGTTGCCCGCGATGGCACCTCAAAATGAGCTGCCCTTTGCTGCGTGGCAGCGTTTACCCACTTCATGCACCTTTGGAGCTGCCTCTTCTCTGCCATAATCACAGAACCACAGAACGGTTGAGGTTGAGGATCTAGGGATCATCTAGTCCAACCCCTGCTCCAGCAGGGACACTGGAACACGGGGCACAGGGCGGCATCCAGGTGGGTTTGGAAGATCTCCAGAGAAGGAGCCTCCACAGCCTCTCTGGGCAGCCTGTGCCAGTGCCCTGTAACCCTCACACTAAAGAAGTTCCTCCTCACATGGAGATCTGCAAGAGCTGTAGGGTCATTCCTATTCTTTGCTGGTAACATGGGACTCTGTAGCCTGTAGACCTTTGAGGCAGGTCATACCCATAGGGCTGGTCAACATCCACATGAAGGTTTTGTGGCCCCTCTTCCACCAGGTATCTGCTGCCAGAAGGGGGTTCTCGGCCCATCCGTGCGGAACGGGGCTCTCCAGGGGCTGCCCCTATCCCGAGACGCGGGAAGGGCAGGAAGGGCAGCTCAGCGTCCAGCCCTGCTCTCGCAGCTGCTGCGAGCCAATTTCTGCTGCAAACCTACACAGCAGAGCTCCGAGCAAGCCAGACATTATATTAATTTCTGTTGGCTCTCAAAGCCGCACCCTGTCTCCAATTATATTCCTCAAACCGAATGATGAAAGCCAGATTTAGCCTCTATTCTCCTTCTTTTCTCATGATTTTAACTGCCGTGAGTCCACGCTGGGTGGGGAGCAGGGGGACGTGTCTCCTGGGGGACGAGGGACTTGTTTTTCAGGCACTGCCATCCCAGGCAGGAGCCTGAGCTCCGGCTGGGTCCTTCAGCAAGTTGTTTCCCTGCACATATGAATAATGAATATTCCAGGATGCTGCCAGCCTTGTGTAGGCATCTTTTCATTTTTTGATCTAAATAAATAAATTAGCCCGCTGGAGACAAGACAGAACTAATTTTTGCTGGCGAGATGATCAAATTTACACAAGGTCTTGGACACTCTACTACAACAGGGACAGAAGGCACCCAGGTGCTTTCACACTCAAAAAGCAGAGGGTTTCCCTGCCCGTCTCCCATGACCTGAGAGCGGCTCTCGGGGCTGTGACAACTGCATCTATCACAACTTCTCCTGCAGCTTCGCATTTGGACACGCTGCAGTCAAAGGTTGCTCGTGAGTAAGAGTTGCTTGGAAATTCCCTCCTGGAGGGAACACGAGCCGTCGCTGGAGCACAATGGCCTCTCATTATGGTTGTCTTCTGCAGAAAGATGCCTCCACCGGCTAAGCCGGCTCCCTGCATCCTCTTCTGCTTTGGAGATAGTGCTGCCACGACAGACCACGCTAATGCCCGTCATTCCCCTGGCCGTGTCGGTGAGGGAATGCGGAGAGCCCTTGTGCTTCTCATTCCATGCTCAGCACAACCTCGGCGTTCCCGACGGCACGCGCGTGCGGGATCGCATCCCCGTCCATCGGCGGACAAACCGCCCCTGGACACTCCCTTTCCCATGGCCTCCTTATCTACAGTCACCACAAATTGAGGCAGCAAGGAAAGCAATTACCGTAAGGGAAAAATAACTTCCGAGAAGCACCCGAGCCACTCGGCTGCATCGAGGCCCTGTGACACCCGGACACGGGGATCAACGGGACTCGCTTCCCAAAATCTGCAAGTCACTGCTTTGTAGGAGCGTGACCAGAGAATTAGACCAGGACTAGGTCCTCGGGACTCGGGGACTTAGGACATCTCATAGCAAAGCCTGCGTTAGACCGACCGTCTGCAATAGCGCCCAGCGATGCCTACACCACTGCGTCACTGCTCGTCCCGCTGCTGCAGCCACCATTACTCATGTTTTGCAGAAATAAGAATTTATATTAATTCCCCAATTTTATTCTACGTACTCTAACATAGCATGTGATATAAAACTGTTTATTAGACTAAGAATAAAATAAATACAAGTTAATAAAAGATAAAAGGCACTTTGATGTTATAAATACCAATGTTTCTTCTTTGTGCATAATCTAGGGCAACTTTTTTTCTCGACTTGTTGTAAAGTTTGCATCATACAAAAAGCTGATGACTCATAAAATATTATTTTATTTTTTGGAATAAGCTGCTGACATGTAAAGTATCTTCCTTGTGAACTGGGATTTCTAGAGGGAAACTGCCTATGGGCTATTTATTCTTGGCATAAACAACAAGACTAGCCAGCCCCGTGGGAAGAAGAAACACCCTATACATGACACCCCCTTTGGAGGGTATAAATAGAGATCTGCGGCGGCAGAAAACCTGCAGTCTGATTCAATATCAAGCTGTGCATCTTGCTTTGGGCTTTGGGCTGGAGCTGCAGCTGGCCTCACCATGAGTTGTAGCATTAAGCAGACAACTGGCTCTCTGAGGGGCAGGACCAGTGGTGGCAGCTGCGTTATCGGTGGCGGTGGTGGTGGCGGAGGAGCGCGCATCTCCTCGGTCTCCTCTGGAAGATACACGACCTGCGGGATAGGTGGGAGCAGAGGGTTTTCCGGTAGGAGCTACTGCGGTGGTGTGAATTACGGAGGAGGACTGAGCACCGGCAGTTTGGCCGGTGGAAACTACGGAGGCGGCTTAGGAGCTGGTGTCCTCGGAGGATGCTCAGGCATTGGATTCAGCGGTGGCAGCGTCCGCTTTGGCGGTGGCATTGGCAGTGGCATTGGTATTGGCCTCGGTGGTGGGGTAGCTGGCGGGGGCTTTTCTGGTGATGGCATCCTTCTCTCTGGTGACGAAAAGGTGACCATGCAGAACCTTAACGATCGCCTGGCGTCTTACCTGGACAAGGTGAGGTGCCTGGAACAAGAAAACGCTGACCTGGAGTGCAGGATCAGGGAGTGGTACGCCAAGCAGGGCCCCTTCTGCGAGCCCCGGGACTACAGCTGCTACTATAAAGAAATTGAAGATCTGCAAAATCAGGTAATGCCATTTCTAGCTGCTTCCTCCCTCTCCCACAGGGCTGTTTCACAGCTTCGTGCCATTCTCAAGAGTGCCATTTCATTACTGCAAAATGCTTTTGCTGAACACACTTAGCTAAGGCAGCTGCCTATAGGAAGCCCTAGAGCTTGCTGTGAGTGTTTGGACTGTTTCCAGGGCTTTTGTTCATCAGATTTATTTGAAAGGGAGAATGTTACGTGCACAGAATACATCTGGACCAGCTCAGCAGTCTTGCTGAATGAGGCTTGTGCCAATATGCTTAGATATACGCCAAGAAAGCAACTAAAAGAGAAATAAACAATGAATCACATTCACTTGTCTGTAGCTATAGCATCCTGCTATCAGCCTTGCAGAATTCTAGCTAATTGCTAATTCCGTTAAAAAAAAAAAACAAAACCAAACTTTACTCTTTTATATAGAACTGGAAACTACTCAACCTCTAGACAAAAATAAGAGCAAAGAGAGCATTGTCCTAATGCATATTGGATATGGAATGTAAAACTCGAACTTTTTTTCCAAACTGCATTAGGGAAAAATTTTGGGATGTCAATGCATTAAAAAGGAATGAAGTGAAAAGAATCCTGTAAACAATGGACAGAATGAGACAGATCCCTAATTATGCCTTGAAACAAAGCATTGCGTTCTGTCTAAGAACACAGGATTTACATTTAAAACGTTAGGTGGATCTCGGCAGGCACTGGCAACACTAATTACCCTTCCATAACTGTCTCCATTTGAACCATCTATTTTAATACCCAGCAATTTTACCAGCATTTTAATGCACCCCATTGGGCTCCACTTGCCCTGGAGCTGCCGTGCTTCTGACCTCCCCAATAGCAGAAAAAAGGCAAAAAAGAGAGAAAAGGGCAGGTTTTGAAGTATGGGCCAACCTGAGGATACAGGGCAGGGACTCACCCTTCTACCTGCTCTTTTCCAGATTGTCTGTGCAACCATAGACAACAACAAGATCATCCTGAACATTGACAACAGCCGGATGACGGCCGATGACTTCCGAGTGAAGTGAGTGTCCCCAGTTCCTCAAGGGCATCCTGCAGCAGCTCCCCCTGAGCCAATGCTTTGGCACAAGGTGTTTCTCACCTAGTTTTTATTTATTTTTAATGCAGAAGCCTGGGGAGTTTCACCTCTGCCACAGTTAGAAAGTTCTGTACAAAGCTGATGGAAGGAAAATTTGGATGGAGCAAGCCTCAGCACCACTTTCCTTAGCATCTTGTCAGGCTAGTTAGGAAAATAGCTTAAGAAAGACTGAATCAGGCTGATGTCACATCGAAAAAGAGCAGAATGCTGGTGCCAAACACTGAGTGCTCTTTCTTGCCCCTGGTTCAGGTACGAGACGGAGCTGGCCCTGCGCCAGAGCGTCGAGGCCGACATCAACGGGCTGCGCCAGGTCCTGGACCAGCTCACCCTGTGCAGGTCCGACCTGGAGACGCAGCTGGAGTCCCTGCGCGAGGAGCTCTGCTGCCTCAAGAAGAACCACGAGGAGGTAGGGAGGCTGCTCCTCCTTCATTCTGGATCCCGGCTTCCCTTTTTCCCGGTCCCCAGCACAGGATTGTTGGCTGCAGAGCGTTCTCCAGCCACAGGTGCTTGATGGGGACGGTACCTGTGGAACAGGAGCTGTGCATAAGAGGGTCTCTGCTGGGGCTGTGCTCTTCCCTCCATTGGTTTCCTTTAAAAATATATATAAATGCCATGCCTTGGGTTGTGTTTCCAGGAAATGTGCTGTCTGAGGAAGCAAGCGACTGGAGATGTGAGCGTGGAGGTCAACGCCTGTCCCGGGCCAGACCTCAGGAAGATCCTGGAGGAGATGAGGTGCCAGTATGAAACGCTGATCGAACGCAATCGCAAGGAAGTTGAGGATTGGTACGAGTGCAAGGTGAGAGAAACGTGCTCAGTGACTTTCCCAGGCTAACACCAAGGCAATTGCTTTGCATGGATTTATTTCAGTTTAAGACCACGTAACATACTGCGGTTGCGTGTTATGTAATATTTGTGGTTATGTTTAGCATTGATTCAAACTGACCAAACAGCAGAGGAGATTCTGCTACTCTCAAAGTGCTGTGTCCTTGTCAGGGATTAGCAGTGTGAAGAACTCCACAGCAGAGCTATTAGGGAGGGCAGAGGAAGAGCAAGAGAAATTGCAGGCAGGATTTGCATTTGAATAAGCTGAGAGCTCAGCCAAACTCTTCTCATTTCATGCTTTTTTTTGCTGCCTTCTCTGTTATTTCTTAATACTCAATCTCACTTGCATTAAAGCACCCCTGAAGCTCTTCCCTGTGGTGCTTTGCAGATTGAGGAGGTGAATCGGGAGGTGATCACCAGCGGCCAGGAGGTAGAGACGTGCAACAACCAGGTCACGGAGCTGCGACGGCAGCTGCAGGCCCTGGAGATCGACCTGCAGGCGCAGCTCAGCCAGGTGGGCAGCCCCGCTGCGCTTCCCATCCATCCCATCTCCCTGTTCCTTTTGGAAAGCCGACACAAGGACGGCTTGCTGAGCGCAACGCTCATCGCGCCCGTATTTATCTTGTGCTGCATTCGCCTCCCAGAGGGATAACCTGGAGTCGTCCCTGGCCGAGACGGAATGTCGCTACAACAACCACCTTGCCGAGCTGCAGAGCCAGATCACGTGCGTGGAGCAGCAACTGGCCGACCTGCGCGCCGAGATGGAGTGTCAGAACCAGGAGTACAAGATCCTGCTGGACGTCAAGTGCCGCCTGGAGCAGGAGATCCACACGTACCGCTGCCTGCTGGAGGGCGGCCAGCAGGACCTCATGTACGTAGACTTGAGACACACTGCAGATACACTAAAATACCCGTGTCCTGGGGATTTTAGCCCAGAAGTGTAGCCTCTGCATTGCTTTTTTTGCCTTTATTGAACTTTGGGGGCTGCCTGGTAACTGATGGTGGCAACCTGCTTCCCTGCGAGAGCTTGCTGCAAAAAACTGCCTATCCTGGAGAGGAAAGCACACTGAGAGCAACGGTGACAACGAACAAGCTGTGATTTCCCTCCCTAAAATGTTATTTTCTGTCCCCACAGTCAGCAAGGAGGAATTGGCCAGTCCTCGGGCCTGGGAGGAGGTGTTACACGAACGAGCGGGATAGGAGGAGGCGGTATCATTAGGACGAGCCACACTTACACCACGTCTTCCCAGATCCCGTCCTGCGGAGCGGCCGAGATACAAGGTAAGGACGGGGGCCCTCCCTTCCAGAGGCCCCTTCTAGGTCAAGCAGCAGAGCCCGGTCCTCGTCCTCCCGCGTCCTGCAGCCTGACACCAGGGGCAGAGCTCACACCGGCCCCATCCCGTCTATCCCACGGGAACAGGGAGGCTTTTCCAGGAGGGGCCGCCATCCAGCTGAATTCTCGTTGAGCTGGCTTGGGAAACGAGCACAGGAATAGTGATGCGGCAGGGAAGAGCCTCATTTCGCTCCAGACAAATTAATATTCCCTTTGATCTCTGCAGTGCCTTGCAGGAGGATTTGTGACTAAGCAGAGAAATGAGAATATGCCACAAAAGATCCCCGAAGCAGCGTCATGGATAAAGAGACAGAAAATGCACTGACCGCCGCCGCCAAGCGATGCTACGCAACGCGTCCTGCGACACGCAGAGCGCCGGCCACGGCCGCTTTGTTGTGCTACTTGCTTCTTCCAGCCTGTTCTGCTGCGTGTGCGCAATTGCCATGATTATTACTGAGTTAAACAGTCCTATGATCATTAATGTAGCTGCCCGTGACAAAGCGTTTTGAATAAAACTTTGCTTCTGCTTGATGCAATCAAGAAATCTGTGTCTGTGCGTTTCCGGGTGTATATACTGCGTTGCCAGGGTGTATATACTGCTTTGCTAAAACACAGTTGCAGAAAAAATATATAGAAAAATAAAGCAGCTAGTGTGGCTCAGAGTCGGTGATGGTACAAGAGGGGACGGACCGTGTCCACACTGGCCTGGCGCTATGGGACACATCCAGGCTGTGTCCCCTCACTGCCATCCAGTTCCCGTTCCCACTGGCACCGGGAATGGGTCCAGTTGGAAACTTTGCTGGGACCGTTCGGCTTCAGACCGGTCCCTTTCACTTTACGGGTATCTCCTCATTAAAAAGGCACTCGAGGCAACACAGCTATTTCCTATCTGTTGTCACGTAGTCACTGAGTCACCTCCCGGTCACGCTGCTCCTGAAAAGCAGGAACTGTTCAAGATTGCGAGATCATCTTTTTATTAAACATATCTTTTTGGGGGGAACCGGCAAGGATGGGATGGAACTAAATGAGTGCAGCTCAATAAAGCAAAGGGGAAAAGCTCGCCAGGGCTGTTCGACACGCAGAGCCTTCCCTTAGCTCTACCCTGCGGTGCGGAGCCCTGCTCGAGTGTGAACGTCTGGGCAAGCCAAAACGCAAAGAAACTGGAGATCACGGCACGGGGCCAGGGCAGGAGCTAGAAAGACAGGAACCTCTCACAAACCTCTCACATTATATAGTATAATGTGGCACATACTAATCTAACCTCATTTTTTCATAAAGAAGCAGATTTCTCCATCGCTGCAGAAACGGCAGTGCTGATAAAATGGAGATATCATAGGCACAAGTTTTAAAGCAAGACTCTAAGGCCTTCTCTGTCATCTGTCCTTGCTCTCTGGAAAGCCTTGGACTTGATGCAGGAATACGTGGGTAGACACGGACGGTTGTAGCTTCCCAAAGCAGCACGAGGGACACTTAGAAAGGCTGCAACGCTGAATTCCTGTTGCTTAGACCCCCCTGCCTCTGTCCCAGGAATTCTCGGACATCTGTTTGAGAAGAAATGAGAAGGCAGATCTTTGCCTTGGTCCTTCCCATTGCCTTCTCCTGCCTTGTCCAGGCAGTGAGACCAGGCCCTGCTGCTCTTCCCAGCCCCAGCCTCTTCCAGCGTCCCAGGCCTTGCGCTCTCCTTCCTCAAAACACAGGGACACTACAGGCACATTCCAGGCTCCTGGAAAGCCCAGGCTCTTCCCAGGACCCCAAAGCCTGCACCTTGCTGAGCTCCTGCCCATTCCCCCAGCTCCGTTCTGCTCTGCTCCTACGAACTGCTGCTGACATCTAGCTGCTCCGCCGGCCTCCCTGCACCAACACCAAAGGTTTTGGCACCCTCCACGCCAGGCCGGCCGTGCAGAGCGTGCACCCTCACCAGGAGCTGCCCTAAATTCCTGAGAGGTGAAGGAGACCTAATGACACGGCCAGAAGGTCTCTAATGATGCCGAGGCTGTGGATGTGCCCCCGGGAAGCCCCAAGGAAGGAACACTCAGCTCCTCCAACGCTGTCACGGTGTCTGGAGAGCAGCTCATAAACAGGGAGCTTATGATAATCAGATTCCCATAAAAAGCACCCTGCAAAGAACCCATATATTAGGGAGCTGCAAATTACGGCGCTGCAAACCTTGGGCTGGAAATTACATTTCCATGGGATTTCCATACTTCTTCATGCTAGTCAGACTTGGCCTAGGGAGCTTATGAGCGTAAACAACTGAGTGCAAATGGCAGGGAAAAAAAAACTCATCTTAATATTTTTTAGATCTTCAGGACAATTATTACTCTAAGTCTTCACAAGAGCACCATTTTCTGAAGACAAAATAAAAGAGAAACAGCAGGAAACGGGGCAGGCGTGCGCGAGCGGCGCGAGGAGGGGGACTAGGGACGAAGGGCCAGGCCCGCGGGGGACCCCGGGGTTCAGCCGCCTCCATGGTCCGTCCTCCGGCGCGGTGACTCCACGGGACACGGCGCCGTCCTGCCCTCCCTGCCCTCATTCCTGCGCCGCAGCGATAAGCGGGAAGGGCCGGGATGCGCCCGCAGATGCTCTTGGGAAACGCCGCGGAATCACTCACAGGAGGGGCAAAACTTCCAGCGCAGCAAATATTACATCAGTTTCGGTTCATTCCTACACCACACCCTTGTCCCAATTACGATCCCCAGCCCCAGCAGCGAGATCCAGGTATTCCTTTCCACACACAAGAACTTTTTATTCGGGTTGTTGCCTATTTAGAGCTTTGCTCCTTGGTATTTATGAGTGGAGAAGGTGGCAGAAGGGGCGGCCACCACCAGGCCCGGGAGACCTTGCGTGCTCCTCAGCCCCACTTGTTCCCTATCCCGGGATAAATCCCTGCACGTCTCCCCAGCTCCATCCCAGCCTGCGGAGACACCACAGGAATGTCGCTGCCTCCCAGCGACGCCGAGATAAGGGGAGGCACCTCCTCAGCCCAAAGGGGAGATGAATGAACCAGCGTGCAGATAAACCAAGGGCTAAAGCTACAAATATTGGGACACTTTGCTGTTTCAGCAGGGGTTATTCCCTTGCTGGTGCAGAGGTCATTCCCATCCGTAATCCTGGCACGGGGAGAGGACGTGAACGCGAGGTGGATCTCATTTGTTCGTTGGTGAACTGGGTTTGGCAAATTCCTCATGGAAGGAGCAGTTTCAGGAGGCTGCGGAACACCCGGCTCTTGCTCAAGTGTAACGACCAGAACAGAAAACCAGGAGAAACCAGTAGAAACAGGTTCTCCTTGCGGGAAAGGCCGCTGCTCTTGCATCTCTGAGGTTACGCGGCTCGAATCTTAGCAAAACACCTCACAAAACTGAACGTAGCCTGAGTTGGGATGCCAGAAGAGCGGGAGAATTTCTGCTTTTTAGATTTTTCTGCCTAAGAAGTGATGGACCAGAACCTCTAGGTGGGATTTCACATGTCCTCTCCCAGCAGGGCAGAGCTGCATGGGGTACCAAGCGCTCTGCCAGCTGCACCCACATTCCCATCCCTGCAGCTCCAAGGCACAAAGCGCCCACAGGACGCTTCAACTCCCCGAACTTCCCAAAACGCCGCCTTTTCCCAGCTCCGACCACCCGCCGTGAGCACAAAGCGACAGAAACATCTTGCCCTGAATGACAGGCAGATCCTTAGGGTAGATTCTCTGCAAGGAACAAACCATTGGGAATTGCTGGAAAGTCCGAGGTCACATAGGAAGAGCCTTTGGTCTGTGTCCGTAGGGATCGCTCCGCGAGGTCACATAGGAAGAGCCTTTGGTCCGTAGGGATCACTCCACAGCCTTGCTGCTCTCATAGGAGAGTGCTCGAGTTGCTGTTTTGCCCATGGAGAGATTTAAAGTTAATCTCGGTGTCTCTGATCTTTCCACAAAGTTCTTACATCATTCCTCATACATCATTCCAGACTCATCTTTTTATTTATTATTTCTTTTTCATCTTACATATTCCGACATCAGCACCTTGCAGGAAAACTGCTTATTCGACTCAAAATAAAATGAAAATAAATTAATGAGAGATAAAGAGCTCTTTGATGCAATAACCTTTAATGATTTCTTCCTGGTATATAATTTAGGACAGTGTTTTTCCTGGCTTAATGTTGTAAAGTTTGCATCATAAACAAAAAGCTGATGATTCATAAAACATTATTGCTAATGTATTTTCGAAATTAGCAAGAGACATGTAAAGCGCCTTCCTTGTCTACCGGGATTCTTGAAAGGAAACTTCCCTTTGAGAAATTATTCTTGGCACCCCTGGCTGGAGTGGCCGGCCTCCTGGGAAGCGGCGTCGCGGTGACACCCACTCTGCAAGGTATAAATAGGGATTCGCCGCACGATTCCCTCGCAGTCTGATTCAATATCACGCTGTACATCTTGCTTTGGGCTTCTGCTTGCATTTCCAGCCGCTGTCGCCATGAGTTGCAATATTAAGGAGACGATCACTGTGTCTAGCAAAGGCAGGAGCAGCGGTGGCAGCTGTATCATTGGTGGTGGTGGCGGAGCACGGATTTCTTCCTATGGCATAGGCAGTGGCAGAGGTTTTTCTGGAAGGAGTTACTGCGGTGGAGTGAATTATGGCGGGGGACTGAGCGTTGGGAGCTTGGCTGGCGGGAGCTACGGAGGTGGCAGCTGCTATGGCAATGGCCTCGGCTTCGGCCTCGGAGGCGGCGTGGTTGTCGGTGGCCTCGGTGGCGACTGCTTGCTCTCATCCTGCGATGAGAAGGTGACCATGCAAAACCTCAACGACCGCCTGGCTTCCTACCTGGACAAGGTGAAGTGCTTGGAGAAGGAGAACGCGGAGCTGGAGTGCAGGATCAGGGAGTGGTACGCGACGCAGGGCCTCTCCTGCGAGCCCCGGGACTACAGCTGCTACTACAAAGAAATTGAAGATCTGCAGAACCAGGTAACACGTTTTTTGCAGTGGTTTCCTCCGTTTTAAGGCTTGTTTTTGATTTTGCACTCCAAACCAATTGTCGGTGTTAGGGGTAGTTTTACTGCTGCTAAGTATCTTTGCAAACAAATTGTGGCAACTTGTATGACACTGTGGGGAACAGGTGCCTATCAGTGACACCGGCTTCTAGGTGATGTAGGTTGAGAAATGCTCTTAAATAGGAAAAAAATGAGTGTTTTGGCTAGACAAGTAGAAGTGTGGTATTACCCAGTGTGCTCTGAGGAAATGCAGTGGTGGCAGCCCAGTAGGAAGAGCAAAGCAAAG